CGGCGCGTCTGCGTTTTGCTCCGGGCAAGACGATGCTCCCTCTCCTCTTCCCCTCCACGCCCGATGGGAATCCGATCCTCCCGCGCTAACTGGGGAAGGAGCCCACTAAAGGCGCTGCCCGGTCACGCGTTCGCGGGAGTCGGCTCCGCTGCACGGCCCGGGCCTGCTGTCCACCCCACTCGGGAGGGAAGGGTGCCAGGTAGGGCTCCACGGGAATCCCCGGGGCTGCTTTCCAAGGTCACGAGCGGAGCCCCGCGGGCCGGCATCCCAGAACTCGCTCGGGGGAAGCGTCCTGGCCCGTTCCGGACGGTTCTGCCCCAACGCAGCCGGCCTCTTGGGGAGCGCCCCCGGCGTGTCTCTCGGGTATTTGGAGCGGGAGAAACCCACAAGCCCCGGTGCTCCCGGCCTGCGCTTCTGCCTGGGGAATGCCGGGAGCTGTCAGCAAGACATCTCCCCGCCTGCCTTCCCCACCAGGTACGGCCGCCTCCACCCTGGTACCCTCCAGACGTTGCAGCCACACCATCCCAGCGTCCTCCAGCACATCCACGGGGCACGGGGCTTGCTTCAGTTGGTCCATGGGCGCCCCAGGCATCATCGCAGCCCAGGAAGGCATGCTCTAGGCTGCCCCTGGAGCTGGAGTCCCTTCCGCCCCAGGCGGGAGGGCTCAAGGACCCTGTGGGCAGCCCGCCCACCCAGCCGGCAAGGCCTTGCGAGGGAGAAGTGAGCACAGCACCGGCAGCGGCACACCTGGACAGAGGTGGCGGGGCAGACGACACCCCTGAGCTGCCTCGTCTCCGGCCTCCAAGCTGCCTGGGGGCTGCTGCTGTTAGGGCCGTGCGTCCTCCAAGGAGGAGGAGTGGCGCGAAAGCCCTGCGGTGTTCACGGGTTTCCTGCTGGGTGCCTGTTCGCTGCCCCGGCGCACCCACGCGGGAGAGGCCGGCCTGCCCAGCGCTCTGCAAGCCAGATGGCCCTGCGTCCGAGCCAGCCGCACCCGTTCCACACTCTCAGCGGAATGGCCTTGTGTGGAGCCCCGAGGGCGCAAGCCCTGCCCTGCCCTGCGCTGCTCCCTGCATCTGGCTCCACCAGCGCTCCCTCACGGAGGGGGGAGGCCAGCCATGCGTGGGCGGAGAGGCTGCTGCCCTTCTGTTCTGCAGCAAAGGATGCTGCTTTGGAGAAGTGTTGGCCACGCGCCTCTCCCGGGGTTGAGCCTTTCTCCAACTGTTGTCCTCCAGATGTGTTGGGTTGCAGCTCCCATCATCCCCAGGCAGCATGGCCAGTGGGAGCTGCAGTCCGACGCATCTGAAGGCAAATCGACCGGGGAAGGCTGGATTAGGGTGACAAGGCTCGGGGACGGAGGGCTGCCGCACGGCTGGACAGGAGCGTACGCAGGCTCTGCCCTGCGCTGCTGCACAGGAGTGTGCTGAAGGCTCCATAGCCCAGTCGTCACCAAGGCGGGGTCCCCCGTACTTCGGCCACTAACCCCCACCGTTCCCGTTCTTGACCATGCTGCAGGGTGGCGTAGCCCAGACCCTCTGGAGGGCACCAGGGTGGGTTTGCCTCTGTCAGCAAAGGCGTGCCCTCCACCCTTACTGCAGCCCACCTTGGACCTTGACCCTCAACTGCTCCTTGCACGGCAGGCAGGCGCCTCTGTGGATGCTCCAGGGTTTTGATGTGACGGCTTTTCCGTTACATGCTCGCAGGAGCCACCTGGTGGAAGCATCTCAGAATGCAGCCAAAGCAGAGCATCCCGCGCGGGAGCAGCCAATTCTGGTAACCAGCCCGCTTGAGCGATCACTCGGGATCCCTGCCGAGTTGGTGCCTTGGCTCCGCTCTGTCAGAAATGCAGCCCAGGCGCCTGAAGCTTGGCATCCACGCTGAAAGTGATCCAGTTTCACAACACATTCGTTGGGGCGCATCTGTGCATTCCAGACCTTCAGTCCCATTTTCACTTCCCTGACCAGAATGCATTCATAGAATTTCTGTCCTGCCAGGTGGCCAAAAGCTGCAAGCCACCAGGAGAAGACAATACAAATGTATCTCAACATACTGAATTTAAAAACGTTTTAAAGCAGCAAAACCTTTCCAGTGGGATGCCGGGCCTGATACAGCAATGGACGCTAATGCTTGGGAGCAGAGGACGGCCTTAACCTGGTGCCCAGAGGATGGCAGTGCTGATGGGACTAGGTAGAGCTCAGCTGGGACATGGACCACTTCTCCCTTGCTGCCACCTGCACAGGAGAGACCCAGAGGAAGGTGTGGGAAGGACCAAGGAAGGGCCCCAGGTGTTGCTGTGAGAGTTGGACAGGTTCATGCTGGGAGAGGTGCCCCATCAAGCACCGAAGGCTTTGCAGATCAGAGCCAGCAACTTGGAATGAACTTGCGAGCATACAGGCAGGCCGCCTGGATGGCCCAGAATTGGTGTCGGATACTCAGTCCCGGTCCCAGTTGCTTGGCTGCAGACCTCACGCAAGCCAATGGGCAGTTCCGCATCTTGCAGCCATCTGATGTGGAGGATACCCGAGCACAAACGATGGAAGACTCGTGTCCAGATAGGAGCATAATCCATGGACCGTCAATGGAAGCTGACACAAGGGCCTCCGTGTCACTGGGGCTCCCCGCCCCTTGCGTGGCACAGGTGGCTCACAGAAGGTGCCCACGCCACCACTCTGCTCCACTCCATCTAGAGCAGCCCGAACACCACACAGTCAGGAGACTCGCCGCTGAGAGCAGAGCCAGGGCTTGGATTGGGCCTCAGTTTGTGGGCCTTCCCGGTACAGCACGACAAGTTACAGGCACGACTGGCACTGCCACACCTCAGGAGGTCGGAAGGAAACTGAGCTGCATACTGACGGCAGCATACCCCCAAAGCGGTCTCATTTTCAATAGCATGGTGGACGGAGGCACTCAAAGGAATCTCGCGCTGGCGAACCTTAGGCCAAGCCGTGTTCCCCAGGCATCAGCTTCTGGAACAAAACTGCAGCAGGGCAGTATCCTGGACTCCGACTCGCAGAATCACCCCAGAAGGGCTACCAATGGTAGCAAAAGCCATTGAGATTAAGAAGACTCGGCAAGGTCACGCCCCGTCCTTCTCCCAAAATGCAGGAAGACCAAGGCTGTTCCATACCAAGTTCAGCCTGAACTAGAGCGGAAGCGGCACACATCTCGGGGCCTGTGGTTGGCTGGGAACCCTGCACTCCAGGATCTTGGCTGGGAAAGGAAACCTCCTGGCCTGTGGCTTCGGGCTTTTGGTATCCTCAAGCTCCGGCGATGATCGCTTCGGGAAAGCTTCGCGGCTGCGCTGTGCAGGCACCTTGGGGTCATCCCCTCGTGCCTCATCCTCATGGTCCAGCCAGTTCTCCCCTTCTGGCTGCTTCCTTTAATACGGGGAGGCGGCTGTTGCCTCAGCACCACTTGGAGTTGGGAGCAGAATCTGGGGTGGGGGGGCTACGTAGCTGCCCTTTCCCCTGCTGTGGGGAGACCCATCCTGCTCGCGGCCACGGGGACGCCCCATGGCGGATCACCCTCGGGGCTGGCACCAAGCGCCCGACTCGACTCGAACGCGTCACTGCCAAACAGGCAACTATTCCACCCCCTGCGGAACTGGGCCTGTTACTGAACCACAATCCCTGTTCGAGGGACCTCCTTCCCTCTTTCTGTTCCTGCTTTCCGGATTGCCCAAGAGCGGGCAGAAGGCCCTTCCTGGCACGGCTGGATGGGGGAACCGCTTTGTGGCCATCCACCTGCTCCAGTCCTTCCCCACCAGGCGGCTGACTGGGCCTGCGTGCCCACGCCATGAAGACACCATTAACCACAGAAACCACACCATTTTCCTTCAGATTTCTTTGTTCTTCAGAAGGTGCGAGGTGTTTTGAGAGCTCGTCTGCAGCAGGGAAAGTGGGCCTGTGCCCCATAATGCTAGTCTGGACGCACTCACCTTGCGGTGCTCCCCTGCAGAAGCCCATGGCGGAGTAGCCGTGCCCCTGAAGAGGGAGGCCGGGAGGGCAGGACTCGCCCTAGCCCACCCCTGCACAGGGCCCGGCACATTTGCAGGGCGCAACACCCATCTTCCTCAGCCGCCAGGCTGGACTGCTGCCCTGCCTTCAGTTGGCCTGGCTTCTGAATATTCTGGCACGGGGTGGTTCTTGTTGCAGCGTTTCGACCCTCAGCTGTCTTGGTGAGCAGGTGGCACAGGACGCTTGCGCACGTGCGCATCACGGAAACTAGCCTAAGAGCGGCAGGGCCCTGGCACAAGAGCACGGCAACCGCTCCTGTTCGTCCCCTTCCGACCTACTGCCCGAGGAAACCCCGCAGCAGAACACAGGCTGCCGCCCCCCACACCCTGCCGACTGGTGTGCACGGGCAGCCTGTTTCTGGAGGTGCCGCCCCAGCACAGCTGGAAGGCTCTGGGCTGGGAAAGACTGGTGTAACTGGGACCTCCCCGGTCTAGCACCCGTTACAGCCATGGCTGCGTTGAAGAGGCGCTCCTTCTTGCCCCCTAGTGGGGAAAAGGGGGCTTTGACGAAGTCAGGGCAGTGGGAGACCCCAAGCAGCCGGGGGATGCAATTCTCCAGCGGGCTGCACCGTTCGGTCGTTCGCCTGGAAGTACCCGGGGCGCTTTGTGGGAGGCTGAAGGCCCCCAGCCCCGCAGTTCTTGCCACGCACCCGGTACAGAACCACCTCCTGCCATCGCTTGCGGGGGCTGTGCTTGTGACGGTGTCCAACACGGGGAGAAAGGCTGCCCACCCATGTCGACGGGGAGTCTAATTCATTTGGATGGGTCTACTCTAAGCAGGACTAATGTGGGGCCCCATCCAGCGTTCATTCGGTGCTGCTGCAGTCAGGGAGAGATGAGCCCCAAACCACCACCGAGTTCTTGCGAAAAAGCAGGAGTCATCGCAGTTTGCGCAATGCAAGGGAAGCGGCAGCCCCCCTCTGGTCGGGACTGCAGGCCTTCCCACGCCCAGCAGGCACCGCTACACAGCCCACAGCCACACTGACGCTTCTGCAAGGAAACTTTATTCGCGACTCCACCCTTCGATGCTGACAAGGCTAAGCCGGGCTCGCAGGAGGCTGTTCTCACACGCCTGAGCTGGGCAGGCCGCCGGGCTGGGCTGGGCTGGGCTGGGCGGGGGAGTGGGTTGCAGCCCCCGCCTCCATAGCAGCCCCCACACAAAGCATGCCAGAGGCCATGTCAGGGTGTGAGGAAGGGGCACGGTGCTCCGGGCCCTCTCCAGCGAGGTGGGCGCTTGCTTTCAGCAGCTTTGCTCCCCCGCAGGCGAGGCCGCCGGAGTGCGGCCCTAGGGCAAGCCTGGCGCAGAGAGCAGTGTGCCGGAACAGAAGCGCCTCTTCAGCTCCGCCCAGAGCAGGTCCTGCTCCTCCTTGGCCCGCGCCAGGAAGCCCTTGTTCTCCTGGGCTCTCCGCGCCAGGTACGGCAGCACCTCGTTGACAGGTCCATAGGGAACGTACTTGTACACGGGGAACCCAGCTTGACCTGGGGGAAGGCGGGAGGAGAAGCGCAGGTGAGCCTCGGCACTCGTGCTCGGTCTGGGGCCGGGCGCAGCCAGCCTGCTGGGAAGCAGAACGCAGGCCGCCCTGGCGCCGGGGCACGGGACTGCGGCATCTTCGAAAGCACGGGCAGACCGAGTCTCTAAGCGGGAAGGAACAAGGCGACGCAGGGCAGGCTGGCGCAGCTTGCAGGCCTCCCAAGGTGGCGCATCCGGCTCCTCCGCCCCGGACCACCACCTGCGCTTGCTCCAGTGCGTGGGCCACCTCCTCGGCTTCGAGCAAAGCACCTGTGCCTTCCCCACGGATGCCGGCTTGCCTGGGCGTGTGTGGGCCTCGCGATCAAGGCCTCAGTGGACCTTCGGGGCTGGGGAGGTGGTGCGCTCCTCATGTGTTGTATGCTATCCGGTTCAATGCGGGGCTTTTGCCAGCGGGGCTGGGCAGCCCCAGCGGAGACCCTGGCACATGGAGGGGATGAACCGGCCGGCCCTGCGGCCCGGGTGCCCCGGCGAGCAGCAAGGAAACGCCAGGAGAGGTGCAGCAGCAGACCAAGACTGAGCCACTGCGCAGAGGTGTGCACCTGGGACGTTCCAAAGACCAACGCTGGGGAAGCCACAGGGGGCTCCGGAAGCTTGGCCGAACATGCAAATGGGGCAAATGCCCCGTGCTGGCAGGGGACGATGGGAATTGTAATGCAAAGCCTTTGGAGGGCAAGACAGCCATGGTGGGCACGTCATAAGCGGAGCCGGGGGTCAGACGAGATGGCCAGGAGGCCCCTTCTGACTCGCTCTGTTTCTCCGTTTCTCCAAGGTGCATCTGGGGAGGAAGCTCTCCCGGCAGGAGCAGAGGGTGGGCCGCCTCAGGCCCTTCCAGTTCTCGGAGCGCCATCTGGCTGCACTGACTCACCAAGCGGGAAGGTGATCTGGTCGCACATGCCCAGGAGCTGCCCGAAGTAGACCTTGTTCTCAGCGGGGTGGAGGCCGAGGCTCGCCATCCTGCAGGCAAGGGCAGCCGTCAGGGTCACTGCCCCCCCTTGGCCTTCGGCCTGCCCGGGACGCTGCCGGGAGCCTCCCCAGGGCTGCCTGCCGCTGACATACCTGCGAAGCGTGAACTCGACGGTGTCTTTGTTGTGGGAAGCCACCATCACGTTGGCCCTCCGGCTGTGCCGAATCTCCTCAAGGATGTAGTCCAGGCACCTGCAGGAAGAGTGGCTGCTCCTGCTCATGAGTGACCCTTGAATGCCGCCCCATCAAGGCAGCGCACAGCCACTGAAAACAATTCCTTTCTAGCACGGCGTTTGGAGCACAAACCCTCCCAAGCTTGCAAAAACCCACCTCTTGAAGAGGCTGAACCAAAAAGAGGCGCCTTTGCCCCGCAGAAGCCAGGAGGGTGCCTGGCCCACCGCAGTCTTCTGGGAGCTTCCCTGGCACCGGTGCTGCCCCCGGGCCACACCCGCCGTCCTGAACGGCCAGCCGTCTGCTGGCGAGCCGGGCCATGAGCCGTGGACGGCTTGAGAGGCTGACGCCGGCCGGCCGGCCGGCCGGCCGGCCCCTGGGGCTGCGGGAGGCGCAGTCTGGCCGCCTGCCTGCCGGCTGGCCCTGCCAGGCCCCTTCCCCGCCAAGGGCTCCCTGAGCGGCCGCCTCCTCCCACCTGTGGTACATCTCACTGGTGTGCTCGTAGGTGGCGTTGATGGGGTCCTCGTATCCGACCTCGGCTGCCCGGCTCCGCTCCTGCTCCATGTAGGCGCCCCTCACCAGCTTGGCCCCAAAATGCCAGCCTTCCCGGCGCGAGAGCTCCACGTCCACCGTCACGTTGTCATAGGCGTTCTGGTGGAGAGAGCCAGGACGGTGGCAGCTCCCGCAAACGGCTCAGGGACACCCCGCGCACCCGAGGCCCTCCTCCTCCTCCTCCTCCTCCTCCTCCTCCTCCTCCTCACAAGGAGGTCCATCAGAGAACAAAAGCGTCCCAGCACAGAGCAGCCTCCAGGTTCTGGATAACGACCCTGGGCATCCCTGACCCGCGGCTGTGATGGCCGGGGTGGAGGGCAGCGGCTGTTCCAGACACCTGGCCGCCACGGGGTTTTGTGCTGAAGCAGCAGTGCCGTGGCCCCGGGCCACCGCTCCAGCCAAAGCGCCGCAGGCTCTCCAGCCACGTTGCTTGCCGAGCCGATTCAGCTGCCTGCGGTGGCCGAGGCCCAGCACAGGCTCAGCAGCCTCCCTCTGCCCGGCCCGTGCATCCCCTGCCCCCAGAGTCGGCCTGGCCGCCAGGGACAGAAGGAGCGATGTGTCCTGGCGTGGTCCCAGGCCATCCCAGCTGCTCACGTGCCAGCGAGACCCAGGCCCTCAGGACTGCTTGCCCGCCCGCCCCCCCACCCTCCCGTAGCACGGGTACAGGGTGGAGGCAAGCGGCCCCCCCCCGGTCAACCTTCGCCTGCTCC